ATTGAAGATTTAACATATGTGGACATGGTTCCGATTCTCTATGAAAGATGTGTAATTTTTTTTAGATCAGAGCGATATTTTCAAATATTTTGACAGCATAGTATCAAAAATACATTGGTTTGACAGTGGTACAGTTAGTTTTGGTTACATGATTCTGTAGTTTTAATGTAGTATTTCTTGTAGTATTCTGTAGTTTTAATGTATTATTTTGTCTTTGTGCTTTTGTCCTGAAGCCCAAAGCTGCAACTTTCTACATTGACCTCTCAAGCAGCAACTACAGCAAGCTGTGTCACAAGCAAAGCCATTCAGGAAAAAAAAATTGTGTAGTGCATATTCATATTCATAAGTTGTAAGAGGTTTACCATCATCACAGAATATACATACTATTCCAAATTAAAATGAAGCAGAATATATTTTGAATTGTGAAGTTATGTGTTGCACCGCATAAAATGTAATGTATACAAAAATTGAAAGGACAATCTGATGTTATATCTATAGTGATATGAATATAGCCCAAGAGATGCTGCTTCTCCATTATCCCTGGCATTAAAGTAACTTTGAATATGATGCATTAATAGATTTCTTTGTATTTTACAACCTCCACCAGAAAAGTTCTCCTGCTACCGTTTTGATTTACGACAGCTAATGTAAGGTAAATCTAAAACCCTAGGTACCTCTCATTCTTAGATTTAAGTTGACTTTTATACTGATATGAAAATGTAGTTCAGATGAGGTTTGATTTATTTCTATCTGTATTTTCCAGATTTAAAAAAAGATGAAATGGCCTTGTAAAACATGTAGATTCAATGCCCAATATTCATTTATCCAGGCAGCAACCCAAGACAGTGACATCAAAAGAGATTATATTTTTTAGTTGTGTCCTGTGCAGTTCCGCTTTTTTTGATTCAGAGAGGCGGTATTTTGAACATCTTGGAAGCCATTTGAGGAGATTTGAATTAGTTGCATGTTGTTACGACCCCCTGTTGGTCTAGGGGAGTGGGGGCCATAAACATATAGGCAAAAACTGGGATAGTTCTTAAAAAGGTAACTTTTATTTGGTAACCGGAGATGCAGGCAGGTAACAACAAACAAAAGGAGGGTGGATGAGGGTGCTGTGAAAATAATAAACCAAGTTAAAATAAAGTTGTGGAAAAGTATTTGATTAAAACACAAGCAAATAGGCTTTAAGACCACATTAAAAGTTAAGACACAGAAATCAGAGGTGACCAAAAAGCCTTCCCCTTAGAGACACGCCCCAGTTGACAAAAACACGGCGCCTTGAGCTCTCTCCCCTCTCTTACGCTCCGCTCTCTGATCATCGTGCGAGACCCTCTTTTGTCTCACAGTAACTTACTTAGCAATATTCACGAGGTCCCGCGAACCTTTGTGAATTTACCATTTCTTTTGTTTTGTTTGTTAAAGTCATTACACCGTTTAAGTCATGCAACTTTGAATCCAGAAACAACCAAGTTTCTTTTAAAGCTTTATTTCGGTTCGAATTAACATTAACTTCACTCCTCCCAATGACTACAAGTCGGAGACCAGCCACGTAGGTTAGTTACGCCAGCAGTAACACAGAGGACATCAAACAAGGAACCGAGCCAGGATGAACTGTCTATCATTACCTCATTTAGCTGACGCTTTTATCTAAAGCAGCTTACAATTGCTATATATGCCAGAAGTCACACGCCTCTGGAGCAACTAGGGGTTAAGTGTCTTGCTCTGGGACACATTGGTGGACACATCACAGTGGGGAATTGAACCAAGGTCTCTCACACCAAAGGCATGTGTCTTATCCACTGCCCCATCATCTCCCCACCTCCCTATCACTGCAAGAGTTTTCTTCAACTACCAGCCGAACCGGGCAATCCTCTGGCAGAGCCGAGTGACCACGGCCGTGAACGCAACGAACCAGCGTGGGGCCGTCGGATTACCGGGCGGCGGACACACTCAACAGGCAGTAATCAAAACCAAACTCTGCACTCTGTGATCAAGTGATGTCCTTTAGCTTTAGCTTTAGCCTTTAACTTTAATCCTTTAGTCCTAAAACTCCCAGCCAAATTGAGTCTTAAATTTCATATTCCAAAAATAAGGCCTTAAAAGTATTAATTTCATTACCAAAGTATTAAATTTCATTTACCAAGGTCTTAAATTTGTTCTTGTCCTTTCGTAGGATTAAATAAATTACGTAACTTCATAAATAAACACTTTTTACGTTTGTGACTTTATAATTTACTCCGTTTGGTGTGTTATACGGCAGAACAGGTAACGTTACTGTTTATATCAATGTTAAGCTTACGCTCTGGACTGTGGAGAGTTTGGTGTACGCGCTCTGGCATCCAACTCTGGGTGAATCAGTTAGGAGAGAAAAGAAAACGTCTCTGACGGGCTACTAAGTGGAGGAAAGTGTCTGAAATTCAGAAACCCAGAGACACGGACAAGTGGCGGTGTCGTGCCAAGGTAGTTATCCCCGACAGAAAGTGTTTCGTGCATTCAAGGCGGACCTTCGACTTCAACAAAGTGAATGAAAAATATACCATGTGTATTGTTTAATCTATCGTTTTAGTATTGTTTTATTAACAAGGTTCGCGTAGAGCAAGCTAGCACATAAATAAATAAATAAACGTTTTTACAGGCTTACGTTATGTGTTATAGAACTTCGTATTATTCATTGCACTCAATTGAGAATATCTAAAATTGTCCCCCTTCTTAAAGGGTAAATTATTATCATAACAATTTAATAATGCATTGCATTTAAACAGAACTTTTCATACACAAAAAGCAATAACAGTAGCCTACTGGTCCTACCAGGCTGGACATGCAGACTGCCAAAATACATTTCCCCCTCCATAATGCACAGATGATGGCCTACCATCAAGTATTTAATTTTGTGTATTCTTCACATCATGACTAATAACAAGGTTGAATATGGAGAAGTTTCTCTTTTCCTAGCAAACGTTATAGTGGTATACAATAATTTCCATAAAATGTATCCCCCCTTTATAATGCACACAACACACGGTATATAAGAAACACAAAATACTAATTACCCCTACCAAATGCTCACATTTTTCTTTTCTGCTTTTTTGTTAGATTCACAAGCTTTTCACATTTCATAATGAATGAAAAGCTCTAATTCTGTCAAAAATCATATGCTGCCAACGTCTTCTTTCTCTGTTAACATTATTTTGTGTTATAATTATATTTTAACAGCTATCCTTACCTTGTTGTTTCCAGACATTTTTTGATGTCTCCCCCAGTGGATCCAGGAACTGGGACTTCTTTTGTTGTTGTTAGATGACCTAAATATTTTTATGACAAAAAATGAAATGCTATTTCTTTACTCACTGAAATGTATTATGAAACATAATATTATGCACCTCATGTTTCTTCTGTCACATAATACAGTAGCATGTTATGTTTTATATGTAAAGTCATTTTTATCACTAGTGTCCAGTGGTGATGCTCATTTATAATTCCCACAATGATTTTGTACTCCAGGGGTTTTATCTAAAATTAAACAAAAATTATGAAAAGTGAATAAATTCCTAATAAAAGGTTGTTCAAGGCACTGCCTAGAAAAATATTGAATGGATATCACATTGTTTTATTAAAATTAAAACTTATGTGAAATTAATTTGATTAGTACATCAATGAGATTCATTATACCAATACAGTCTTGGAGTCCTTCTTTTCCACATTGCTGTCATTGCAAATGAATCATCGAATGCTGCTTTTGTAGTATTTTGGTGATTGTAATCACGCACCATGACCGCTAGATATGCATTAATTGACTGTTAAGAAAGATATAAGATAGAATGATTTAAAAATATATTGATAAGTCCACAGCTGATTTACAAAACATTTAACGCTATACATACTTCACTTTCCAGCTCCATGTTCGGACCAACTTGTTGAATATCCCAGTAATATAATTTGTAAGCCCCTATTTTAGAAAGGAGGACATGGGCATCGTTTCCTGCCCATGCATCCTTTACATCTGCCAAAAATAGTGAATAATGAAATAAAAGAATAATTATTAAAAAAATCTAGCAAATCAATGTGGAAAATGTAAGTGGCAATTAAAATGCATCAACAAATCGTGATAGAGATAATTATTACATCAGTGTGCTTGGATGTTAAAATCTCTTCAATTAAAATTTATGATAAATCTTACATTTCTTTGCAACAGCCTTGGTATAACCGTTGCTTGCTGATAGTGCTGCTGGTGGCGGGGCTGTTGTGTTGGGGCAGATCAGGGGCTGTAGTAGGTGGGGCTGCTGGTTGTTTTGTTCCTGAGGATGCAGGGCCTGTAGCTGGTGGGGCTGCTGCTTGTGGGGTTTCTGAGGATGCAGGGCCTGTAGCTGGTGGGGCTGCTGCTTGTGGGGTTCCTGATCACGGCATCAAGATAATCATCCCATGTTTCGGGATGGTTGTCAACTAGTTTACTCAGGGCTCTGAGAATAAAGGCAATATTGATATTTTTGATCAGAATCATATTTTTTTAATTGTATTAACACAATTTCAGTGGACAGGCACACCATACAAGGAGTATAAACACATACCGGACGAGCCCCCACGGTCAAGGTCAAGTTCGGCCAGTAGAGGCAAAAGTTGAAGCTATTGCCTCGAGTCCAGTTCCAACCACTCGTAAGGCGTTGCGCTCGTTCCTCGGCCTGGCTGGTTACTACCGAGCTTTTTGTAGGAACTTCTCATCCGTGGTCGAACCGTTAACTAGGTTACTTAGCCCTAAAGTAGACTTTGTGTGGTCCCCAGAATGTCAGGTCGCGTTCGATAGTGCTAAGTCTCTCCTCTGCCACTCTCCCATCCTGGCTGCCCCCGACTTGTCCACGCCGTTCACGCTGCCCAGGTTTGATCCGTCCTCTGCCAGCAGTGCTCGATCGCTAGGAGAAGCGCGGCTAAAGGTATGCCTTGCCCGTCTCCAGTATGAAGCACAGGACAGAGAACGTCAGAGGCAACTCCAACTCGAAGTGAGGAGAATGGAGATTGAGCCTGACCAGGTGGTGAGACTGCGGAAGTTGGAGCTAGAAAGCGCCAACGCAGCTATGGCTGGTGGGGCCGCGGGTTCTGGTGGTACAACTTCTCTCCCCTACTCATCCAAATTGGACTCGGTAAGTCCCGGATTTGATGTCGGCAAAAATATTGCTTTGGTGTCGTTGTTCCGAGAGGCTGAAGTGGACTCGTACTTCCAAGTTTTTGAGCGAATAGCTTTAGCATTAAAATGGCCGCTTGAGGTTTGGAGCGAGTAGGAGCTTAAACGCTGCCTACCCGAACGCATAGTGATGTACTTAAATGAACAAAAGGTGTTAACATTATCTGCTGCAGCTACATTAGCAGATGAGTATATGCTAATTCACAAACCCGCGTTTCCTCAGGTTGTAGACAGTTCCCGTCGTGTAAACCTACCTCGGACTAATCCCCCTAGGGATCCCAGTCCGAAGGAAGAAGAGCGTCAATGTTATTACTGCCATAAGAGGGGACATGTTATTGCGGATTGTGTGATTTTGAAACGCAAAGACCGGTCGTCTTCGCATGGGTCTCAGCCCAAGGGTGTTGGGTTAATTAACAATCTACCAAGCCTTCAATTAAACTGTGACAACCAAAATGAGGTTGATCCCTGTTTTCGTCCATTTGTACTCAAAGCACTTATTTCGCTTACAGGATTGCCAGCAGATCAGCAGTCTGTTAAAGTGTTACGGGACACCGCTTGTTCCCAATCGGTTGTGTTAGCTTCCGTGCTACCCTTTTCAGTTGAATCCGCCTGTGGATTTGGGTCCGTCTTAAGGGGCATTGAAATGGGATTTGCGCCTCGCCCTGTGCATAAGGTGCACATTCAGTCCGATCTAGTCAGTGTTTTTTTTCCCAGTAGCAGTGTGTGATGAGCTTCCCATACAGGGTGTTGTGTTGCTCATGGGAAATGACATAGCCGGGGGTAAAGTGACTCCAACGTTAGAAGTCTTGGATGTACCAGGAGACCCTGCCTGCAGCGCAGAGTCGCCCACGGTATTTCCAGCCTGCATCGTTACTCGTGCGCGGGCACGCCAGATGACATGTGATGATGGGTCAGATATTTCACTAGCTGATACAGTGTTTTGTAAGCCTTTGCAGATAGCTGTTTCAACACCCGTGAAGGAGCCAGCATCTATGGAGAGTGCGGTGGAACCATCCTCTTCCTCCCCACCACTGCAAGCTACAAGAGAGCGCTTGGCTGTGGCTCAGAGAGAGGATCCAACCTTACAGGCCTGCTTCAGGAATGTGGTGAGTGACAGCAACACAGCAAGTGCCGTAGTTGCAGTCCGTTCCTGCACACAACGTGCTCAATTATGTAAGTCAGTTCCGCGAGCGACTGCACAGAGCTAATGCACTCGCTAAACACATGTTGACTACCGCACAAATCGTGATGAAATGAAACTATGATCGTTCCACTGTAGAATGTGACTTTAGTCTAGGAGACAAAGTCTTGGCATTACTTCCGGTACCAGGTACTGCGTTGTCCGCCAAATATTCAGGGCCCTATGAGGTTCACAAAAGACTCAATGACACAGATTATGTGATAAGCACTCCTGATCGGCGTAGGAAAACCCGTGTTTGTCACATTAATATGCTAAAACTCTATCATGTTAGGGAAGAGGACTCAGACTCTCAGGGTACTGCTGTGGGGTTCAAACCAGACACAACTGGTGCAAAACCTCGGTCTGGAGTGGTAGCTGTAGTTGCGACTGACCCTACGCCTGTACCAGACGTCGACGATTTGCGGCCGCGTTGTCCCGTCTACCCAGCTTCTCGTCTCCCCAATTCAGAGGCGATTGAGGAGTTGCCTACTTGCTTACCACATCTATCCCCTGCTCAAAGGCAGGATGTGATAGGTTTAGTTACTCAGTTTCCAAGTTTGTTCAGTGATGTTCCAGGTAGGACCAAAGTGTTAAAGCATGATGTCGAACTTACCAACCCGCGACCCATTAAGCAGCACCCGTACTGCGCAAATGTAATGAAGCGTGATGTAATGAAAGGAGAAGTAGAGTGCCTCCTTCAGCATGGCCTCACCAAGCCTAGCTCCAGTCCGTGGAGTTCACCATGTCTTGTAGAAAGCAAGGCTGATGGTTCACCGAGATTTATCACCGACTTTAGAAAAGTTAATGCGGTCACAGTGCGTGATTCGTATCCCTTACCTCGGATGAAGGATTGCGTTGATACCCTCGGTACTGCCGTGTTTGTGAGCAAACTAGATCTCTTAAAAGGATACTGGCAGGTCCCTCTTACTGAGCGTGCTTCTGAGGTCGCAGCCTTTGTGACTCCCGATGACTTTTTGCAGTACACGGTAATGCCCTTTGGAATGTGTAACGCTCCAGCTACTTTCCAGAGGTTAGTTAACACTGCTTACCTAGACGATCTCATTGTCTACTCAGATCCGTGGGAGAGTCACATGTCCACCCTCTCCGAAGTGTTTTCTCGCCTTGCTCAAGCCGACCTTACCATAAATCTTGCTAAGTGTGAGTTTGGGAAGGCCACTTTGACCTATCCGACTTGTCCAAGCCGTTCAAGCTGGAGGTGGATGCCAGTGCCGTGGGAGCTGGTGCCGTGCTTTTGCAGGAAGATGTAGAGGGTATAGACCATCCTGTATGTTACTTCTCAAAGAAGTATAACCGCCATCAGCTTAACTATTCAACCATTGAAAAAGAGACCCTTGCTTTGTTGTTGGCCTTACAGCATTTTGAGGTCTATGTTGGTTCCACCTCTCTGCCTGTGGTAGTTTACACAGACCACAACCCGCTTGTGTTCTTAGCCCGTATGTACAACCATAACCAGAGGCTCATGAGGTGGGCGTTGATTGTACAAGAATACAATCTGGAGATACGGCATAAGAAAGGTTCAGAGAACATTATTGCAGATGCCTTGTCTAGGCTGCAATCATAATAGAGAAAAGAAAGTAGTTAGGTCTAAACTGGTTAATTCCCAAACTGGGGAGTTTGTGTTTATGGGGAGGAGTGTCACGGCTGTCGCTGTCACCTTTGTGTTTCCCCTTTTCCCTGTCTCACCTCTACCAAGTAGGCTGTGTCCCTGGGGAATGAAGACCCACCTACTTCCTGGTTTCTGGGGTGCTGACATCAGTCCCGGCCATTGGTTCCCTCTGTTTCCATTCAACCAATGGCTCGTCACCACGTTAATTACCTCCGGCTCATAAGGAGAGTCCACCTGTTGCTCCAGGCAGCTTGTCACCGCCTGTTGACTTGTCCTGACTTGGTATTGACTCCATAGCCTGCCTGTTAGTTGTACTTTGTGTTTAGTGGAACTATCCACCTTCCTTGCTTATTAGCTGTACATTGTGTTTAGGGAAACATTTGCATACCTTTGTATGTTAGCTCCACATTGGGTGCAGTGGAGAAATTCACTTATTGTTTTGTTTTCTATTGTGTTAGTTTTCACCAGGTGGAGTGGGTCCTGTGCTCTTTGTGTTCTTTTGTAGCAAGAATCAACTCTGCTTAAAACGATAGATAGGTACAGGCCTCCTTTTGAGGACCTTTTTATTTTAACTTGGTTTGTTATTTTCGCAGCACCCTCGTCCACCCTCCTTTTGTTTTTTTGTTACCTGTCTACATCTCTCTGTTACCAATAAAAGTTACCTTGTTAAGATCTATACCAGTTGTGCCTATATGTTTATGGCCCCCACTCCACTAGACCAACAGGGGGTCGTAACAACATGACACATAAGTAATAAATGTAAATAAAGTCTATCAAAGAATATAAAAAGGACCCACCTCTGAATTGTGCCATTCATTCTCTCCACCAAGCCATTCGTCTGGATGATATGACGAGCATAGGCTTCTTTTGATGTTGAGAATTTCGCACACACTTTTGTTTATCTGCAATCATAAGGGAAGTATTAAATGTATCAACAAAATGTAGACAGTTTCTGCCTAGGACAGAATGAAGTACTTACGGCATTGACAAATTCTTTGCCTTGGTCAGTCAGTATTCTTTTAGGGGCTTTGAAATGGTGGACGAATTTGATGATGCATTCAGTCACAGCCTTTGATGTCAAAGGGTAAGCCTGGGGTCATTTTGTGAAACAATCGATCATCACGCATATGTACTGTATGTCCATGCTTGGTTTCTGTCAATTTCCCAATTAGATCCATCCCCACCAACTCAAATGGCTGAGAAACCTATATAGCAAAAGATTTCCACATAAAAAAAATTGCTTCTAGACGCAGCTTAATTTATACTGCCTTGTATGCAAATAACATAAATTTGTTTCCAATCAAAATATTTTGTCATATAAAATGCATCTTTTCTACAACTTTTACATTAAGAACACATTTTCTTTTCAAGTCATAGCTTTTACAAACAATTTTTTTTTTTATCAATGTTTAGATAAACTTACCTTTATGGGAGTGTATTCTGTTGGTTTTTTAATCGATGCAGTACTGGCCTGGCAAGCTAAGCATTGGGAAACCTGATGAGGAAATGTTACGTAAAAATGAGAACTTATTAATAAACGTATGTCCTGTAAATACTTGGGTAACATTTTTATGTGATGTTAGCAATGCCCTTTTTTGCTTTCCTTGTCTTTTATTTCAAAGTGTCGGCACTGAAGTTTTGTGGACAACAACGGGGGTAAGAGACCTCAAACATTTATCTGAAAAATGCAAACGTCATGACAGTAGCCGCAGCCATCTTGATAATAGCATGAAACTAAAGTTTTTGGGCAGAGTTAGCATTGCTGAACAACTAGATGAAGGCTGTAGGATTGGCATTAGAAGGCACAACGAAGAGGTGACATAAAATCGTCACATACTGTCCAGGATTATAGAGTTTGAGTTGGCTTTACGTGGCCATGATGAGAGCGAGAGTTCAGATAACCCTGGTATATTTCGCGGGTTGGTGGATTTTGTTGCCTCTCTTGATGGAGCATTGAAAGAGCACCTTGACAGTGCTACTGTATTTAAGGGAACGTCAAAAACTATACAGAACGAGCTACTGGACTGTATGTTGTCTGTTACATGAGAAAAAATAATCAAAGAAGTCCAGACAAGTGATTTTTTTATCAATCTAGGCAGATGAAACAACAAATATTGCCACACAGTCCCAACTTGTGCTTGTGCTACGCTACATCGATGACAAAAATAACGTGCAGGAAAGATTTTTTGAGTTCATCCCTCTGCAGTCAGAGTCCATTGCTACTGCACTAAAAGACCGTCTTGCTTCTATCCCATAAAAGTAAGCTCATCTGCCAGGCATATGATGGGGCCAGCGTGATGAGGGGTGCCACTGCAGGTGTTCAGAGGAAAATTCAAGATGTGTACCCAAATGCCCACTACATCCACTGCTACGCACATCAGCTCAACCTGATAATGCAACAGGCCACCTCTCACATATCCAAGGCAAGAATTTTTTTTTTATAACATTGGTGGATTTGCTAGCTTTTTTTCCAAGTCACCCAAGCGGATATGTTTTCTGGATAAAGTGGTTGCCCATAGATCCTGCAACGTCAGATGGAACTTTTATAGCCGTGCAATCAATACTGTTTTTGAGCACAGAGAGGATCTCATTCACTGTTTTGAGAGCATACAAGACTCAGGTGACTTTGACCCCAATACTGTCAAAGAAGCAGGAGCCCTGGCCATGCTACTGGAGGATCAGGATTTTAAGTTCTTTCTGGAACTTTATTACCACATCTTGCCACATGTAGACTTCCTCTATGCCAGAAGAAGAAAATTGATTCAGTCCATATCAAAGTGAGCATCCAACAGTTCCAACAGGAAATACAAAAGATCAGGTAACTGTATTCCTATAATATGATCATTATTTGCTTTCTCTTTCATTATTAACTCTCTTTCTCTTTTGCCAATATTATAATAAATTATCTTTGTCCTCTGCAGAAACTCTCTCCATTCCATTGGTGAGCAAAGTAGTGGTTCTCGGCCAACAAAGAGGCGGATTGCAGCAGAGGTGAGCTTGTTATAGAAATAAAATACCATTTTACATTATTGTTGTGCTGCAGAGATGTCCTGACCACATATCATATTCTACAGACTCAAGAAAACATTTTCCACTGACCTGCCTCAGGGGTGTGTGGGGGTGTGGGGCTCGGGGCTTTGGAGCCTCTGGGCCTGGGGCAGGTCTGCGAGTTGGGGGGGCTGGGCCCTCCTGGACCCGTCCTGGGGCTGGGCGGGGTTGTCGCTGACTCTGGGGTGCTGCCGGTGCTAGAGGGCTCTTGCGAGGGACCTGGCGTCCTCCTGCTTAGGGGGTTGGGGGACAGGACTGAATAAATGATGGGGCCTGTCAGGAATCTGGTCCCAGTGAGGAGGACCATTCTAGCCTCCCTATGACCTCCTTCACCTTCCCCCCTATCAGAGGGTAGAAGGGTGAAGTAGGAAGGAAAGGTGTGTTGGGTCCTTCACAGAGCTCATCCTAAATGTCATGGATGGGAGGGAGAGCAGTTCTGATTTTACCAGCTGCAGGGTCTTGTATTTTCTGGCAAGTTGAAAATACAGTCTGAAATTATTTGTATCCCACTATAACTTTTGCTAGGAAAAGAGAATGTTGTGAAGTGGACAGAGTGGACCCAAATGCAACACTCAAGATTAACAGGTTTTGTTAGGGGAAAGAAGGGGTTGAGGGAGAGGTGGATGCCGGGGAAACGCAGGCACGGAGAACTGAGGAGACTGAGACCAGAGAGCCGAGGGACACTGGGGGCCGAGGAAGAGAGAAGGCACGGGAGAACTGATCAGGGGGTTGCTGGCAGGTGTGGCAGGCTGACGAGGTGCAGGTGCGGGTCGTTGGCTGGGCTCAGGAGCAGAGGGAGAGAGAGAGAGAAAGAGAGAGCACACACGGGGGAGGAGACACAGGGAGGCAGGCAGGGAACAGAGAAAAAAACGGAAACAGACAAAAGACAAAAAAAGTCTATAACCAGGACACTCACGGTCAGCTGGGCTGCCACCACAACAGAGAAACTTCTCCATATTCAACCTTGTTATTAGTCATATAATGATAATAATTTACCCTTTAAGGAGGGGGATTTTCATTTCAATTTCCAGCAATATCCAGAGGCCATGCAATGGAAACATGGATTACAAGGACAAAATATTGTCTACAATGCTGTATTCAGTTTAATGTACATTTCGAGTCAAGGAGATGTAACGTCGAGGCGAGCAAAGCGTTGAACTGATTACAGTGATGTTGATACAGTATCGGTGGCGTATGTAAGAGCAGCTTACTTGAAAAAGGTGACAGTCTGTCTGAATCTAGACCACCACATGGACAGTTGTAACATCACCAGACTATGACAAAATAAATGTTTGCTTTACAAGTGAAACTAAATGCTCGTCTTGTGTAGACATTCTCAACTGAGTACAATGAATAATTCGAAGTTCGATAACACATAACGTAAGCCTGTAAAAACGTTTATTTATTTATTTAAGTGCTAGCTTGCTCTACAAAAATCTGAAAGAAAAAAAAATCTGAAAAAAAATTCACGAAAATTCCCCCCATGTTGAAATGCAAGTGGTTGGACCATATGTGTAAGGAGCCATTATACATGAGGGGACATGTCCCCCCCACATTTCAAAATCTATGTTTTGTCCCCCTCACTTTTTTCAGCGA